CCCCAAAACCCCAAAACCCCAAAACCCCATTTAGGAATATTCGTATTGAATTAATAAATATTTATTAGAAGCAATATGAAGAGTGGTTGGTAGGTAAATTGGGAATGGGGTTTGGAGGGCATGGGGCTGAGAGGAAGCTATTTAGGTTTTGAGGGGTTTTGACTTATTTTGGATGATTTTGTGAGGAGCAATTTTTGAGTGGCTTAGTTTTAGCGAAGAGTTTTTGAATAAATTGGCAAGTTTTGCGAAGAAGAAATGATCTAGTCAAACTCGTACTGCTGTAAAAACTTTTGACAGGTAATATACTTTTCTCTAATTTCTCTTTTCAAAATTCTTTAGAGTACCCAAAATTAGAGAACTAAACAAGTTCAAATAAAGATGCTCAATTCTCTGCCCTCCAAAGAACTCAAAAGCTGGGATTAGGATTCTCTAGAAAAGGGTTCAGAGCTATGAGGAATAAATTAGGACTTCACATCTGAACCTCAAATGACACCTCTTCAATGCCCATGAATAAAAGCCTGGCTGAAAACTCCTTTTCCAAATTCGTGATAAATTCACCATTAAGCGACCCAAGAACACCACAACTCTACTGTAAGCCCTATAATTATATTTTTTACCTAAAATTGTAACTATGAAGCCACTAATACCTTCTCCAATCCCCACTCCACACACCCCACACATATTCCACCCCAAACTTCCCCACACGAAACCCTCACTACTAACCCCCCACAAAACCAAATCTCCTCCCCCTAAACTCCCTAACCCCCTTCACCCCACACCCTAATCCTCCAACCCCTCAAAATCTCTGCCCCAATAACCCAAATTTCCCACACAATCCCCATTCCTTATAATCCCTATCCCTTCCTTCCTGCTAAATTTCCGCACTCTCTTCCTACTGCACAGCTATTTTTCAGCTTGACCACTGAGGGATAATTTAGAAGGTGGGTTATACTAAGTAACTAGAATTAAAGAAGTGTACTCGGTTCGTAGGAAGGACTCCGGAAGACCAGAAATATTCGAAGAGGAATATGATAGTGCAAGAGAGGATTAATGAGAGTTGTTCAGGAAGGAAGGCGGCTGAGAAAGCAGTTGGGAGGGGGCTTAGGATTGGTGAAGAGAACAAGGGAGTGGGAGGTAGTTTGATGGGTACAAAAGGGGTTGAAGAGGGCGGAGAGGGGGTAGGGAGAAGATTGAGGGCATTTGGGACTTGAGTGGGGTTAAAAAGCAGGAGCTTTCTGATATCTTATTGAGGACTTTTGATAGATGTATTTGTGATTGAGGTAAACTTAAAATTTAGGAATTAATTCTAAAGTCAAGAAACAGAGTCCAAATAAGACTACCCCAATAGTGCATTTCACAAAGCGTCAGCTTAAGTTTAGACGTGGCCAAAAGGTACTTTAATTTTCACAATTTTAGTGCCCAAAATTCTACTTAGATGGTCACAAAAACCTTCTCATCCAAAGACCCTTCGAACCGCCAAGAATGAAGAGATCCCCACCTATTAACTCCCCCACTAACATTCCAGGGTACATCTCATCAACATTAAAAACTCACAAACTTCATACCTTTTAAACCCGATTGGGATTCTCTTGCAGCCAAAATCCTTAAAAAGGCAGAAGTCTTTCAAAAAGTATCCTAATCCCTACAATCCCTTAGTTTTGCTGACAAAACCCCAAAGTGGTTTTTAGATTATTTAACGATTTTTTAAGCCTTCAAGGCACTTATTTAAAACGCAGGTTATCTTTAAGCCATTTTTAGGAATAAGTGGCTTAGAAGTAGCAGTGGGTTAAACATTTTGAGGAAATTTTAGGATTTCAGGGTCAGAAGAGGGATAGGGTTTAGATGGGTGTCTGTTTGTAATGTAAATTTACTATCTTGGAAGTATTTAGTTCATAAAAATAAATTTTAATACAAAAATAGTCATTTTTTAATTTTTATACCCAACAAAAAAATTCAAAATCTTCATTTCCCAACATTCTCAAAGATATCCTTCACCTTAACTCCATAGCCCTAAACATCTCAAAACCTCCCAAGAAGTCCTAAAATCCCACTCCAAATACCACCAACATCACCCAAAAAACCCTGAAAATAAGCCCAAATCCAAGCCTCCTAAAATGTAAGTTCATTGCCCCAAATTCCCTTCCAAGACCTTTTACACTAAATCCAATCCAAAACCTCTCCTGAACCTAACACCTCCCAAAGATAAGCTTAAAACAATACAAAACTTCCAAAATTAGTGAATCAGTCCCCAAATTATCTCGATATGTCCTTAAATCTCTAAAAGTAAAAGATGATGTTGGAAATAAAGATTTCACATATTTTAGCATGAAATTAAAGACTTAGTGTTTAACTAGATATTTGGGGACGAGGAAGTAGAGAATTGGTCAAGAAATAGGAAAAGAAAAGCAATTTAGATCCTTAGTGACCTTTGTGCGATTAGATTAGCCTGGATTATCATATGTGACTTAAGAAGTAAAACCCCAAATAGAATTCCTCTGAAAAACATCAGAATAAATCCACCTAGGAAGCCTCAAGACATTGAACTACTTAGTCCAGAAATCTTGTTATTCTCCAATCCTGCAGTTTCCAACACAGACTCTAGCACAGAAACATACGAATGTAAAGACGACAGTGAGGAGGCTGAAGGAGAGGTATCCACACTGGCTCATATTTATAGGATGAATCCAACAGGATCATACCAACAAAAGCACATAAGAAGAAAAACAGGATCACCTTCTCTAAGGAAGTCATCCAACTTAACGGCACTGGTGAGAGGAAGTAAGACTTATTTATTCAGCCTATAGCAAAGCAGAAATGAGTCATTATTCATATGGATTTGATAAGATCTTCACAGCTATTAAGTTACCCACTCAGAACCATTGCTCTAAACGAGATTATAAGACCGAAATCAAGCATAAGCTATTTTTAAGAAAAAGGGCTAAGAAAAAGTTAAAGTATTTGTAATTGTAAGCTTTCAATACTGCAAAGATTTTTAGGGGTTTTGGGGTTTTGGGGTTTTGGGGTTTTGGGGTTTTGGGG